GCACCCCCAGATTCATGGAACAATTTCAACAGGTACCATTATTGCATTTACCTGCATGTATACACACTTTTTTTGCATCGCATTCAGTCTCCTACTCCCTTTCCATGACACCTCTCCCTTCCCAATGGTGCCAACCTTCCCCACTGGCAGGAACTGTTCAGTCTGCCTGTTCTCTGATTTTGCAGAAGAAAAAAGAGAAAAAGAAAAACAAGACATTTTTTGCTAGTTTGAGATAAAGAGACCACAAATAGCCAAGGCAATACTCAACAAAAAGAGCAATGCTGGAGGTATCACAATACCCGACTTCAAACTATATTACAAAGCAATAGCAATAAAAACAGCATGGTACTGGCACAAAGACAGACATGAAGTCCAGTGGAACAGAATAGAGGACAAAGGTGCCAAAAATATACGATGAAGAAAAGACAGCCTCTTCAACAAATGTTGCTAAGAAAAGTGGTTATCCATCTGCAAGAAAATGAAACTAGATCCATGTCTATCATCCTGTACTAGTATCAACTCAAAATGGATCAAGGACCTTAATATCAGACCCAAAACTCTGAAATTAGTACAGGAAGGAGCAAGAAACACTCTGGAAGTAACAGGTATAGGCAAGGACTTCCTCAACAGAACCCCAGCAGCCCAGCAACTAAGAGAAAGAATGGACAAATGGGACTTCATAAAATTAAAAAGCTTCTGCATAACAAAAGAAATGGTCTCTAAACTGAAGAGACCACTCACAGAGTGGTAGAAAACATTTGCCAGCTATACATCAGACAAGGGACTGATAACCAGAATATATAGGGAATTTAAGAAACTAAGCTCTCCTAAAATCAATGAACCAATTAAGAAATGGGCAACTGAACTAAACAGAACTTTCTGAAAAGAAGAAATTCAAATGGCCAAAAAAACACATGAAAAAATGCTCACCATCTCTAGCCATAAAAGAAATGCAAATCAAAACCACAGTAAGATTCCACCTCACCCCTGTTAGAACAGCCATCATCAAAAACACCTCCAACACATGTGTTGGCAAGGATGTGGGGAAAAAGGAATCCTCATACACTGCTGGTGGGAATGCAAGCTGGTGCAACTACTCTGGAAAAAATTTGGAGGCTTCTTAAAAATCTAAACATAGATCTGCCATATGATCCAGCAATGCCACTACTGGGGAGATACCCAAAAGAATGCAACACACATTACTCCAAAGGCATTTGCACACCCATATTTATCACAGTCTATTCACAATAGTTATGTTATGGAAATAGCCAAGATGCCCCACTACAGACTAATGGATTAAGAAAACGTAGTACTTATACACAATGGAGTTTTACTCAGCCATGAAGAGGAATGAAATCTTACCATTTGCAAGTAAATGGATGGATCTGGAGAACATCATTTTAAGCGAGGTTAATGAGGCTCAGAAGACCAAAAATTAGATGTTCTCCCTTATAAGCGGATTGTAGATCTAGGGCAAATACAGCAATGTGGTTGGACTTGGGTCACATGATATAAAAATAGCTAATTTCTAATGCAAGTTTATTTTATTCCTTAAAATCAGAGATCAGCTACTAAATATTTTTCCATTAAATCATATTAACCTCTCTCTTCTGAGGTAAAATACCTTGGATTATTCCATTTTAACATTAGGCTTCTTTCTTTAGCTGCTCAGTCCTTAATAACATGATATTTAATGGAAAAATACTATAAATATTGTTATGAATACCTTTATTGTAACAATTTGATTAGATTTCAAAATCATATTTTTTGAGATTTGTTAGGAAGTTGGATCTTATTCATAAAAAACATTAAAAATATATGTCCAGTTTTATCATTCAAGGTACTGTTGAGTGCTCAATCCTTAAATTAATTTAAAAATATTTTTAGTGTGCAATTAAAAACTTATTTGTTTTCATAACTGATCTTTAATCAATCTGTCTTGGTAATGGCCAAATTTGAACTAATCAACCAATGTAGCACATTAAATGTGTTATTCTCAACATACTAAGTGATGATGTGGTAAAAGAGTATGTTGTTATAAAAATAAATTTCAGAGAAATATTAGATCTGTAGAAAGTTTTTGCAGAAAGTGGAATTTCTACTGGCAGCCCCCAGTAAATGCTTCACCCTCCTTGTGCAATTTCCCCCATTGCTGCCACCCTACCTGACACAGTATTTATAGAGTCCAAAGGTTACATTAGAGTTCACTCTTTGTGCTGTGTAGTTTTATGATGTTCGGTAAATATGTAATGCCATGTATCCACCATTACAGTATTCCATAGGATAGTTTCAACACTTTAAAGATGATTATACCCTATATTCTCATCTTTCCCTCTCTTCCTATGAACCAACCATTGGCAACCACTACTGTTTTTAAAACTTCCATAATTTTGCCTTTTCTAGAATGTCATATAGCTGGAATCATATGATATGTAGTCTTTTCAGGCTGGAGTCTTTCACTTATTGATATGCATTTAAAGCTCCTCGTCTTTTCATGGTGGATAGCTCATTTATTTTTATAACTGAGTAATATACCATCTTACAGGTGAAATACAATGTTTATATATTTATTTCATGTATTTTGTTTCAAAGTACTGATTTATTATTTTATTTATTTAAAATTTTATAATTGAAAATATTTTGCTTTCTAATGTTTGTTCTTTTGTCCTTTTATATTTGGAATAGAATTTTTATTTTAGGCAATACTAAGTAAATTTGAAATTTGATGTATGTGTAGTCAATACTACTAATATATGCCTATGGAAAAACCCTTTTGGAATAATGTAGTACTTTAGTTTAAATATATTATTTGAATTGTTTAATGAACTTGCTAATACATGTAGTGAATTGAAATAATTTACCATTTTTTCAAGAAGAAAATAAATTTTTATTTACTACAGTTGCCATATTGTACACTGTATTTTTTGGACATAACTCATTCTAAATGAAATTTCTTCCCCAAAGCCCCTTCCCCCCTCCCCCAATCGCTAGAGGAACTCCTGGTAACTACCATTCCATATTAAAGAGAGTATTAAGAGCTATGTGTTCTCACCATCAATGATAACTATGTGAAGTAATGTGTAAGCTAGTTAGCTAGATTTCGTCATTCCACAATGTACATATACTTCAAAACATCATGTTGCACACAATAAATACATACAATTTTATTTGCTAGTTTAAAAAGTTCACCACTTTTAAACATGTTTATTTATGTACATGTTTATTTTGTGTACATATGTGATGAGATACTGCTTTCCATATGTGTAAGAGGAGAGAGATGACAGAGTGAGTCGGCACTTAAAACTGTGCTGTATTTTCACCTCCAAAACAGGAACAAACCACTACATCTTACTGTCCATTTTTTTAGCCTATATTTTGCATATTTAAATTATCATCCCTTGTTCTCTAACAAGGTTTCTTATTTTTCAATCTTTTACTTCCTTCCTTCTTTCTCTTTCTTCAGACCTCTTCTTGGAATCTATGTTAACTCTCTAATTTCTAGGGATTGTAATCTATCAATTGCTAGTCTTGCCTTTATATTTTTGCCCTCTACTTTCACAAACTCCTTCATTCATTCATTCATGAGTGTTTATTCCATGATTCCTTTGCTGCCTTCTGAGATGTGTGGCATGGTTAAGTTGTGGGAACAGAGTCCAATGACTTCCACTGAAACCCTGTGTCAGTGCTCCTGACAATGAACACATTTTCCATTTACTTGAAGTTTCATTTTCCTTTTCTGAAAAAAGGACTTATAGTAGGATCATGTGAGGATTAAATGTGGCAATCCATGTGAAGTTCTTAACACAGTATCTTCTTCAGAGAGAATCATTAAGGAATATTAGCAATTATTATTTTGAAATTATTATTTTCCCTGATTTATGAATATGAAATATGTTGATCCCCTCCCCCAGAACTACAAAGACATTTTTTCTTCTTAGTTTGTGAAGAAATATCTTTCTTTCTCCATACCTTCTCTCAAAAATACTCTCTAAACATCTTAGTGCTGTGCTTTCCCAAACACTGCCAACATTCAAAGCATCAAACTTAGTACTGAAAGACGTTTCTTCTCAAAGTTGTTCAGTGATGCCCAAGGCAAAGAAAAGAAAATTCAGCTAACATTGTTGTTTTGTAATTCTTCCTGTTGCTTTCAAAGATGGGCATTTTTTATTTATTTTCTGAAAGCTTTGTTTATCAAAAATGAAATGAATGTAGCAATCCATCTTCTATTATAGATATTTTTGTTATTTAAAAATATTATAGTCATTTCTTGCAATATATTATAGCATTAAATTCATTCCTAACAGATGGTTGTAACATGTTGAGTTAAAAGCATTAGTAATTTAACATATTTAAGCTACCGTGGAAAATTAGCAACTTTGTGAAAATTGAAAAACTCATTTCCTAACGTGATTTAGGCAAGACTGCAAGGATTTTCATTAAATAATATAAAACAAATTAGAGGGAAAGAAACAAAACACGGGGGAGTAAACAGAATTGTTTTAATGATGTTTTAACTATTTAAAGACTAAATCTTTTTAACTGTATTCTTCTGTGGAGGGGAAACCAGAAAAATCTTTATTCATTCCCAGGTAAACAGCTTGATATAGTTATTATTGCAGCTAGAGTTTGACCAAAGTTTTACAAAATTATAATAGATATTAAATGAATTTTTAAGATATGTAATAGCAGCAATTATGAAAAGGCTCAGTAGCATAATAATTCAAGTCCTGGATGTACAAGTTTCTTCAGGCTTTTCATCCTCTACAGTTTTTTCTTTCTATAACTAATCTTGATAAGCACTGATTTGCTAATCTGGAGGCCTACAGAAATAAGTAGCAGAGTAAATCAGATACTTCACAGTGAGGAATGCTTTCAATTGTACCATAAGCACTATGAAAAAAATGCTCATGTGTAAAATGTTTGTGTAGTTGCTGGATTTTTCTTGTGACTTAGGACCGATTTTCTTTTAGCTTTTTTCTTTTTTATGTTTCTCTCTGCAGAAAGCTGACCTTGCCGTTGCTCCACTGGCCATTACCTACGTTAGAGAGAAGGTCATCGACTTTTCCAAGCCCTTTATGACACTTGGAATAAGTATTTTGTACCGCAAGCCCAATGGTACAAACCCAGGCGTCTTCTCCTTCCTGAATCCTCTCTCCCCTGATATCTGGATGTATATTCTGCTGGCTTACTTGGGTGTCAGTTGTGTGCTCTTTGTCATAGCCAGGTAACATGCTCACTTTTGTGATTTTTTTGGCAATTGTTACCTCCTTTTTCTAACTAATAATTGTCAAAAGTCACAATCAGTTTTACTTCCCCCCACCCCCTTTATTTCCCACAAAATGCTGAAGAATAATGAACTTTTAAGAGTCACATCCACTATCACAATGCACGATGCTGCCTTTTTTGGGCAGAAAGCATGCTGGTTGTGTCAATAAGCTATAAGTGTGGTAGGGTTCTTAATCAAAATCTAAAAGCAGTCTAATTTACTATAGTATTAGAATGATTTCTTCATTTTGAAAATTTCTTTGAACCAAAAGTAGCATGTTTTTCTAATTCGAGTTAATAATTCAGACATAAGGAAAAAAATCAAACTACTAAAATTTAAAGGGAGACCTCTTTTTAAGGAAACAAGGTTAATTTACAATAAACATTCTCAGCTTAAAAAGATTACCTAGTTTTCTACCTAAAATTTGTTATTTTTTCACAAAATAAATATATCACTACAAAATTTCCCTCTTGTCATTGACATTGAGGACATACTTCAAGTCATAGCATCCGAAAGTCAAGTGCTTAATTATATGCAGTTTCATATTTTTATAATGACCATTAAGATGTGTGATACAATTAAATCTTTTTTGATTTTCCCACTTAATTGCTCCTAGAGGAGGAAAGATATGATCATTTGTTGCATTCTTCACTTTCAAACTTTCAGCTGATAGATTGTTACCACTTTAGTTTTCTATTGCTTCAGTACTAATGATATTTAAAGCCACATTTGCTTCATGTTCTTTATATTCTGTTAAATATAAAATAATAGCTCTGACTTCAAACTGAATTAAAATTTTACATATATTTTTCATGTTGATAAAATTATTATGCATATCTACACATATTTCTGTGTCCTATAATAACAATAAACATGAAATAGTTTTTTGTAATTACACAGATTTTTGATACATTTATAATTGAGGATATTTATCTTTCATTGAAGAATCTTTTATTGATTTTTATCTTTCTGATGAAATCAAGTATTTTCTCCTACCAGTAAAATAATAAGTTAATTTAAAATGGAAAAAATCAATTATAGGTGCAGCATAATATTTTTGACATATTTAAATATATACATATGTATATATATATATTTTTTTCAACTTTTTTTGTGGTACCAGGTCTTGAACTCAGGGCCTACACCTTGAGCCACTCCATCAGTCCTTTTTTTGTGTGTGAAGGGTTTTTTCAAGATAGGGTCTTACAAACTATTTTCCCAGGCTGGCTTCAAACCGTGATCCTCCTGATCTGTGCTTCCTGAGTAGCTAGGAATTACAGGCGTGAAACACTGATGCCCGGCAAACATATATATACATATATATGTATATATATACATTATTATATAAATTTATCACTATCTAATTGGCTCAATATTGAGACTTGAGTACTTAAGACAATTATTTGAATTTTAATGAAAAATATGTATTGGAGTCATGTAGCCATGAATCATTTGAAGCTGAATGGTAGTCTGTTAAAATTTTATTTTATTTTGGGTTATTCCCAGAAAAAGGAGAATTTAGAGAATTTAGAGTATGAACTTCATAAACTTTTAACTCCAAGTATTCCATATTCTATAAAACTAAAACAGGATTTTTAAGCAGCTTTGGACCAAATATGTCTTATGTATAGTGACCAATAAAAGCCATCATATTTTATACATATTTAAAGAAATGAGTTCAAGTGTTTTAGCTTAAGTAATTCAGTGATTAGCAAAGTCTTCAGTCAGCACATTGGTCAGACAGAAAAAAACATTCCAAATTATAGTAAAAACCTTCCTTGATATCTGCATGTATGCTTATTCTTCCTTATTCAAGTTAACAAAAGATTCCTGGAAGGGTATAAAAAAGCCTAGAAGAAAGGGTCTTGAGATAATTCTAAGGAGCCATGTGAGCAGTAATCCAACTAAAGTCTAACATCGTTTTTTTTCTGTAGCCTCAATAACAGACTTTTGAGGTATTCCACTTTCATTTTACAGAATTTAGACATTTCTAATTTTCCAAGCCCAAATGTTCTAAAATCAACATCAAAAAGCAAATACCTAAAGGTGTAAAATACATTAACTAATAAAGACATGATATGTATATATATATCAAAGAGATATATATGGTAACCTGTAGTGATTATCTATACAATTAGTGTAACCAATATTGAAATGACAGAAAACAAATGCCTCATTATCATTTTATTTGAAAATGTAAAGTCAGCTGGTGTATCATTTTCTAGTACAATTAAATTTTAGAAAGTTGCTGTAACATTTTATCATTAGTTATTAAATGAATGGATTCGAAAATAATCCTATTCCAGCTTCTTATTGAACTGTGTGAAAATGAGCTAACACAATGCTTTTTAAAAGTATAAAATCTTTATGGGAAAATTAATAAATGTTTCCATAATAATAAATATTCCCATAATAATAATAACTTATTATTATGGAATAATAAATAGTATTAATTAGTAACAACATTAAGTGACAAATATTGTTGGGTGTACTTGATAAATTATTACATAATATATGATTAAATATATTATGGGTTCTCTAAGAATATTTTATTCAATTCTCAGTATTGAAATCTTGTTATAAAATGCTTCTAAATTTTTCCAAAAAATAAACACAGAAAACTCAGATTAAACAAAAGTCTTTGAACAGATTGAATTTAAATTCTAAAATGAGCCTCCATATTAAAGCGAGCCTGACATAGTATTGAACTCTTACTAGTATGAAAGCAGCTTATGGGGTACAACTGCAGACAAAATGTTCAAGTTTTGGTTGTGGAACTTACTTTCCCTTCTAATTTAAGTAAAAATTATGTCTTATTTCATGTGGAGATCAACAATGAACTCACTGACATCATTGTTGATAGCAAAATAAATAAAATATTTTTTATATATATACTTTATCTCCATGGTAATTACAGAGAAATGAAAGGTAAATTATGTCTTGAAAATATTGCTATATATATATATATATATATATGTACCATTTGCTTTGAAAATCATAGATACAAAGGTCTAAATAACCACCACTGTAATAACAGAGTTCATGTCTATAAATTATTGGGATATATCATATTGAATTTCAGGAAATAATCTATTTAAAAAATTTACTTAGGAATGAAAACATGATTTCAAAACTAAAATATCATAAATGATGTAAATATTGTAAGATACTTAATTGCTATTATTTTTCTTTTATTTTGGCCATCATCTAATGTTTTTCTATTCTTATTGCTATAATCAATCTTTTATATCTCTCTAGCTATCAAGTTACACCTTCAGTTTGTTTGATTTTCACCATAATTATTTCATCAATAACTCAGTCAAATATGTGTTGAGTTTCTGGTAAGCATATGTTAAGGTCCCACAAAATGTTAAAAATTTGACTTTCAATTAATCATTAATTTATTCAATAAGTATCTATTGGCTATGCATAGTGTGATAAGAATCATACCAGATGTTAAATACAAGGAAAAAACCTGAGTGATATGATCTTTTCATTAAAGAAAAAACCCTCATATTTAGTCCATGTATCTGAGAGTAAGTACTATTGGCTTTGGGTAAATTTGTGAGGACATTTGATAGTTATCCAAAATTTTGTGAATGCCATATATTTTAACAGTGCTTTCCTAAAAAATGGCTTGTAATGTATCTTTCACTGGAAAGAAACATCCAACTATAAAGGAAATAAGATATTAAGCTAATTATTCTCATAATATTGAATTAAAGTTTATTGAATGTCTGCTTTATTAGAGTAAAAGCAATATTATAATTGTGAAAAATTATGAGCCATTATTTATTTCTAAAATTCATGCTTTTAAAGCTGTTTTTGAAAGTTAAAGTTTTGAGAATGGATTTAAAACATTTTCTTTCTTATTTTATAAGAAACACTTTAAAGAATACTAAACAAATGCTCTAAGTGTATTTAACCAATGTTAAGAAAGAGATACATAGCATCAATTTTTCCTTGATATGATTTCACATTGTATGGTTTCTTATAAGCAGTTGAATTATCATTTATAGCATAATGACATAATCAGCATGCTTCTCCGAATTAGTTGAGAACTCATGTGTAAGTAAACATGAGTGTGGGATACTGTGTTCTAGACAAAGAATAGCCTTATCCCAATCCCAAGTATCCTAACAGTAGCTCTTGGCTGACAGATGGTTAGAAAGAAATCTTGTCCATAATGGACTTGTTCTTAGTTATAAATATCCCTAAATCTTTTCATTCTCTTTCTTTTTCTTTTTCTTTGACCTAGATATATTATTACAGAGATGGCAGTTAGTCATATAAAAAGGCTGGTTAGGGCACCCACCCTTATTATGGATAAGAGATATTTTTCACCTTGCTTCAAATATTTCCTATATTAAAAAATGATACTATTGATAGTATTTATAAAATAAGTCAACTTAATGATATTAGATAGTATATTCTCTAATGATATTAGAGATCATTTCTTTCAACTAGAGATGTCTCTAAGACAACCAGAGCTGTACCAAAAATCAGCATCTAAATCTTCTTCTTAGTGGGTTGGTATACAGTGATAAATAACTGAGAACAAAACCTAAAAGATGGGAATAAAGGTACATACATTTCCCTCCAACAGGATTGATTTAACCTTAATTATTCACTAATCCTATAACAATAATGCATGTTTTATTTCTATATTGACATTTTAGAAAGAAATACAAATAAACTCTGAGAAGAAAAATAATAGATAGAATTTTATAAGAATACCTTTACACAAAAAAATTTACGCTGCTCAAAAAACAAATGAATGTTGCCACACCTTAGAAAAAGAGTGAAAGAACCCAAACAGTATTCACTAACCTCTTTTTTCTTAATTAGAATAATAAATCACAGAATACTCAAGGTGTTGAAAATATAACAGTTTCACTAAGTTGAAAAGAATATAGAATGTTTTTGTGTACTTTTGTGTTGAATTAACTTGCATGATTTTAAGAATAATAGAGTGCTATCAAATATTTTTTTGATGAGGTAGCAGTGAATGGTCTTCCAGTGTTGAATATGAGAGTGACCACCAGGGCTGTCTTGACATATATGTTAGCCCCAACATGGCCTGTGGTTACAGGACGACAAATCTATTGCTTTACTTAGAGTTCCTCTACTTTCAAAAATATTCAGTAATTTTCTTTGTGCACAGAGGTTAAAAAATGTTCTAAATGTATAGTTTTTTCATGGTTTTATC